GTAAGTCAAAGCTGGGTCTCTGAACTCAAGGCACCATTCCCCCATCACTGGCTGTGACTCCAAGGTCACAACAGCAACCTTAGAGGTGGACTTTTTGGGATAGTCAGACACTACTAGCATATGGGAAAAGTTCCTCAGCTTCCTCTCTTCTCACTGCAAGGCACTACAGTTACGTGTCCCAAATTATGGGAAGACTAATTGCTCTGTTTCAGAATATTCTCTCTTCTTTTGCAAAAGTCACTGATTTTACAACATCCTATTCTGTCCATCAATTTCCTTGAAGGCCTCTGCAAGGGGCAGATAGAGGAAGTGGATACAGTGGCTTGAACACTACATTGGGAATAGAAAATCTGGAGTTTTTGCCTCTTCTCAACAGTCTGCCACCTACTTTGTCCCAGAATCTCTGTCTGGTGGACTTGGCCCCCATGCTGAAGCCAGTTACCCTTCCACTCCAATTTTGGGTTGGCTGGTGGCCCTGTGATGCCTGTAAGGGATGTATAATCCAAGCATGATAGGCAGTGACCACAGCTGTGCATGGTAGGGAACAAACAAATGGACACATGGAGCCCTCAATCAATCAAAGAGCTTTGCATTGGGTTTAATTTTTTTCATATTTAGATGGTTCTATACAATTAACCATTGATGTATAACTTGAAGTGGTATGGGCACATGGGAGGTCCCCACACTCACCTCAATGTTTGCATGACTTCTCATAATGTTTCCTGCTCTCCAGTACCATTAGTGTGGAGCATTAGTACACAAGGAGAGGCACCAACCTTGAATATGAAGGCATGTAGTTCACATTATCACATAATTATGGCATTACATGTGTTTTAATATGTCCCTGCTTGACCATATAAATTGAAGACTTGTGGGACCCAATCCAGAATGTGACAGCAACAGGGAAAAGGGTTAATGTCCCCTCACCAGTCCTTCACACTGGGGTCCAGTTTTAGGAAGTAGTGGTGTGGTTCATTCCCAAGAGACCAACACCACCACTCCAAGATACTTTTTCTGCCCAATTCAGAGACACAGGCAGACCATTATATTTAATGCTCCAGCCTTAGTTGCCCTTCTAAAAACTGATAGCGGTGATCTACCTCACTGTGGGTATATACAAAGATATAGATTGCAAAGCAATTTGAGTACTAAAATTGCTATATACATTATTTACTTGTAGTTAGGATAACACAAAGTGCCTTGAGACCTAAATTTCAGATCCATATTCCACAAACTGTGTGTATTTATAGGCTAGGCCTGTCACACAACAAGAATAACATTGTGCTGAAAGTGTATCTATTATAAATTATTTGTGCTTATAGCATGACACTTTGTTATCATAATTGAAACCCTAGATAGCTATTAATATTATACAGCACTTCAAGCATGCAAAGTGGTTTACACTCCTTATTTCGTTAATCATGACAGGAGGGTAGGTGATTATGGTGAGGAAATTAAAATGGCTATAAAGCCATGAGAAAGGGCTAGCCAGTGACCTGGTCCAGTGGGACCAGTGGGAGTCCCACTGGGAGTGGGAGCCTGGCTTCATGTTCTCTACGTTCTGCCTTCTCTCCAGGGCATACTTCTCTCTCAGTTTTTAGTGTCACCCATGGTAAAGAGTAATATATACCTCAGTCCTAACTATGGTTAACAGTAACCAGGTTTGCTTGCAAACCACTCTTTTCTAATCCACTTTAAAAGATACTTTCAAATTCTGGACCATGCTTACTGAGACAGCATATATAACTGTAAAACCAGGATACAGAATTATGAAATATTCCATATATTGTTGACAACAGCTTCCATCATCTTTGATCATTAGTGTTGTGGCTACAGCTGATGAGAGTAAGGAGTCCGTGAAGGACCTCAGGTTCACCATTTCTGAGCCAGGGACAGGCAGAAGGTCGATCTCCAGGTGTTTTTGACTTCAAGTCCCTGAAACTTCTGCCAGGGTAGCCCATGTTCAGAAGTGCTGGGAGCTGAAGACCAAAAATTCCTACAATATGTCCACCCCTACTCTAAACCATGAAAAAGAGAGGGGGAGGTTAATACTCTAGAGATTGGTAATGGGAAAGAAGGAGCACCTTTCTTTGAAGGTGGCTTTCAAATGCTAATCCTTCAGGAAAATGAGAAACTCCTTCTGTCAGAGGAAGGGCAACTTTGCCTGGAAGCTAGTGATGATTTTATAACAGATTGATGTTTGTTACAAATCCCTCCTCAAAAGGGAGCTTTTAGGTGAAGACTTTAGCACAGAGTACTGAAGCTTCCATCTTGATTACCATGTTTTCAAATACTGCAGAACTGCTAGGAACCATCATCTAAGGGCAGTGATGTGTGAGGAATCTGGTTTGGGGGTGGGAATCTATCAGATGTTCTGGGCTCAGTTCCTTGGATTCCTGTCCTCTTTCTCTTTGCCATATGATCAGTTTGTCCCAAGCATTCACATGGGCATCCAACAGGAAACGAGTCTAACTTTTGTATATTAGAGTGAGGGTGGATTGTGCACATTCTGCCCACATGTCCGCTATGCACAATGACTGGCAGGTTTTTATGTGTGGCAATTGCATAGTTAGTGTGAAAGTAATTCAGCACAAAGAAGGGACCCACTCATGTTCACAAGTGTTTGTGGATTTGATCTCAGCTTATATCACTCCTAGAGCAGGAGGTAAATCCAGCAAGCTCAAAAGTTCCAGATTCTGGGTGGATCTTTGCATCGCTCTTTAATGGCTTGGGCTGAAATTTCACCAGTACAGTTTGCCAAATATACCACCAGCTAAAGTTCTGGGAAATTTTTTTTTACTGAAAGTTGGTTTATTTGACTCACAACCCAAGTCCAAATTTACTGGCACCTTCTGAGGAAATATATTGATGATGGTGGTGGTGGTGGTGGTGGTGATTGTGGTGAGATTCATTTATTTGATGACAGAAGAAATATAGAAATATTTTACTGAAGCTATTTTTCTTCCCACTGGGGCAATCATGTCAATGAGGGCAACAGATTCCACTACTTGTGCTTTTAAAATCATATTATTTTGAGGAACCAGGAAAGAAAAGCTTGTGTGAATTTATTTTAAAAGATGTGTTCAAGTAATAAACTGCGAATTAGTGCCTTTATGTGATATAATAAAACCTTCCTGTACAATACACAGAAGCAGCATTTACTTCAAAATCATCCAGTGTCAAAGGATGCCAAAAATAATTAGTGTCTGTTTTGAATCTTATAAGCTAGATATTGCCAGTGGAAAATGTTTTTGCCTATCTAAATTATTTAGTCAAAACAGATATTCACAAAAGTGTTTCAGCAGGAAGATGCATGCAAATCATTCATATGGGATAGAACTACTTTTATTACAAAGTGTGGGTATTTTTAAAATTTTAAATGTTCAGTGTACTTAATTTTAACCCTTCACTTGCTAGACCTAATGTTTCAATAGTTTATTTGCTTACCAAATTTTGATTGATTGATTGATTGATTGACTGCAGTTCCTTTCCACTCCTGGGCAAATGCAAGAATTAAGAAATCATTAAAGGTTGAATCATTAGTTTATTTAGTATCAGAAGTTAATATTTAGTAGTACTGGTCTCAAATGGGTGTCCCATTCCATCAAACATTTTACCTTCTGCAAAGCAGGTATCGTTGTGTCATAGATCTTTTGAGACATGCACAAGCGAAGATAAAAATATTTTCTTTCCTCAAGTGTCAGTTTCTGATGCATGGCAAGACCATATTGCCCCCTTCTTTTGGCAGGACAATTTAAAGGAACCAACAAACAGCATGCCCCACCTGCTAGAAAATTATGAGGGTGGAACAATTCCAGATACCCTGTTTAAATTCCCTCCTTTCCTCTCTTACTCCAGTGCTCTGGAATAACAGAATATTAAAGTGCAAAAGCTGGAGGTCATCCAATGAAAGAGCACCTCTTGGAACTCTATCCTTAATGGTTCATTCAGACTTTGTGCCTGATGCTCTGTTACCTAGAACATAAAAAAGAAGGGAAAATAGGAAAGGGAGAATCTCTTTCCGATTCTCTCCCTGCATGCTCATATCTCCTACACTGTGGAAAGATAATACAAGGAAAGGAGAGTGTGTTTTTGGTATGAGGGATTGGAAGACGGGATTTTTAATATAATTCTCAAAAATCCCAAATGGGCAAAGCCTCTGTTTTCTCTGCCAGTCCCCTTTTTTTATCCTGTGTAAGTGGGGGACAAGGAAACAGGTGGTGAAGTTAGCACACTGACAGAAAGGAGGCACAGCACAAGAAATTCACTGAGTTTGTACTTTGGAGAAGAATTGAAAGGGTGAGATGGGGGAAGAACAAAAAGTCTTCACAACAATCCCTCCAGTGGGCATTTCCTTTCACTAGGAACTCTTCTTCCACAAAAAGCTTCCATTAGTGAAGACAGGGGCATTAATCAGATCAAATATATGCATACATTCCCTACTTTCAACTTCTATTTATTTCAGTGGTGTCTTTAACTTACGCCTTAAAATTAGTGGTCATTGAAAGTGTTTAGTTTTAAACATTCAGGTGAACAACAATTTCCAGTGTCAGAAAACATCTAGATTCTGTGACTGATTTTCCCAGTGGAAGCAAAAACTTTTAATGCTACTTTGATTCTGTTCTTCAAAATTAACATTCCATTCAGTCAGAGCCTTGGCAGGGACGGTCTACTTTATAATTTACGTATATGTTACAAATGTTGCCATAGCAAGTATTTATTTTTTAAAAGAATCAGAATTATTGGACTTGTTAAAATCTCCAGTTTAAGAATTGGATTGTATGTAGTTTATGCTGCCTTTTTATATTGCTATTTGTATGAATTTTATTTTTATGCTAAATGTTAATATTTAAAGTTTGGAATGTTACAGATTCCTTTGAGTTGAATAATGGGTTGGAATTCTTCAAGTAAAATTGGGTCTTATTATTTAGTTAGCAATTTTGTAAGAGTATTTTGTTCCTTGCGTTGTACCCAAAATTATTTTTCTTTCTTTCTTTCAGGATGCTTCAATTGCTCACAGATTTCATATCATGCGAGAAAAACATCCGGAGAAATTCAACAGCAGGTGAGAGCTTCAGTGGGGGGAAATCTAGAAAAATGGATTATTCTCAGATGCAAAGGGGGCATATGCCCCGGCAGAAGAGGTTAGAAATTTATCTCTAGTGGAATATTATCACCCCCATAACACCACTGTGCCTTGTATCACACTGGCCTCACTAGCACACTCCTCACTTTCATTTCAGTTTGGTTCTTCATTGTGCTGGAACAAATCTCTGCTTGCTTCTGTTGACAAATGTTAACTTTTCCTGAATCCTTTTCTTGGATTTTAGGGTTTTATTTATTTTTTTCTAATACGTGTCATGCGTTCAAAACTGCGCTTGTATACCAAGCTATCAATCTGATTCAGGTTGAGCTTCCATGAAAGGGGAGAGAGAGCTAGGAAGAAGCCAACCTCTGAGCCCATGAAGGAGCTGTGCTTCCTTATTCTGTAGGAAGTGAGTTAACCAATAATGGAACTAAGTGGTTGCTGTGCCGTTTAAAGAGAAGGTGCCTCATCCAGTGGCAGTTTGGAGAAGGGCAACAAGGAGGAGCGAGCTCTCAGCCCGCCAAGAAACATTCCCTAGTGAGGTCTTCCTGGCACCCATATTGTCATCTTTCTGCTGTCAGGGTAACACTTTGCTCCGCTCCTAGACACGTGAGAGTGTATGATAACCAGTCCTGGACATTTTATTGGTAATTGTTTCATATTTTTATGCAAGTGGTTTTATATTATGTTATTGCATTCTATTTTTAGAGTTTTAATCTTGGCAAATCATTGAGAGACATGGAAAATATAGATATAAAATGAAATGATCAGGTAATGCCACTATGGCCAGTAAAAAGAATCGTGTGAGACTGTTATTTTTTTCTAAGCAAAACTTTTTCTTTTTTTTAAGAAGAGAAAAAATACATGATTTGGAGATTTAGGAGTGGGGAAGAACCAAAGAAATAAACCAAAAGAGTGACAGATCCAGACTATTTTGAGGATAAAAACCTTTCCTTGTGACAGTCTCAATAGCAGATTTGGCTACCCACCCATCACACACATACACGTCTAAATGAATCTTCTGGGTTTTTCTTCTTTTCGACTCATCAGTTGTTAGCTGATATCATAACCTTCTAAATAATAAACCATTTTGGCATATAAAATACTCGATTCTTTAGGCCAGCGTGATAGCAATGATGATGCACTGTGTGGTATTTGAAGATCCCTGAGTTGACACTTTGCCATTAGGCATTGCAGAACACTTATTAGACAGCTGCAGCTGTGAATCCTTATGTTTTGCTTCCACTTGCATACTTGTGTGCTGACAGGAGCCTCTTTCATACTCATCACAAGTAAGAGCAACCGAATGCTGTTTTATAAATACAGGGTTCTTATCGTTTGGAAGCCTGCATTTAAAATCTGGAAAAATGAAACCCCACACATTTTTCATGTGTTTCTTTTCTGGATTTCATATGGCCTGCTGTTCCAAATGTTATTTGGGAAATGAAGATGTGTTAATAAATACATTTTTCATTTCATTTCATTTCAATTTTGTATTGCCTAGTAGTCAAAGCTCTCTGGGTACTAAATAGACTGTGCAGTAAATAGAGTTACAGGGTAATTGGACACACTAGGTAGACAAAACTTTTCAAACAGGTGCTTTGGAGGTGACAGCTTTGCATTTCTTGAAGCTGTGTAGTTGTGTTGATGCAAGGCTGTCAATATTTGGAGAATATGCCATCTCCTATCTAGCACAATCCATCTTTCAGCACATCCTGTAATAAATGTCTGTGTTTATAGCTGTGCCTCTCCAAAAGTCTAATTTCAAGAATGATACTATAACAGGAATGGTAGACAAGGGCATACTAAGTTCCCCCAAAGACAAATGGTAGGAGCTATTGAGCACTTAGCAAATACAGAATTTCTAGACTCTAATGGTGAAATTGGTTTATTAGGGTTCTGCTGCATATTTTCAGCAGTTAGCAATTATAATTTATAAAAAGCCCAGCTAATCATATGGTTTCAACTCAGATTTCATGTCACAATAAATCATATGCCATTAATAAAATCTGTTAGCCGACTCACCTTGAAATTCATCTATATTTTAAAGAACCTGATGCTTCTAGCATTATCTTAAGGAAATTAATTGCAAAAATATATGTGGGCCTAGCCTTTACACCCTTCAGTATATAGGCATTGAAGACAAGTTGAGAAGGAAGTACTACTACCTCTCATTTTCATAGGTTATACAGCATAACTGTCAAGATTAATTTTATGTGAAATTAAGTTAGTGCTATCATGCTTGCCTGGTTGCAATCTGAGAAAGTCATATGGGAATGCTCTTAGTAAAGCATGCTAGAGTTTCATCTGTGAATGGGGCCCAATTCTGCTCATCATACACAGACAGCAGAGCATAGAATAGTTTCTGTATGCACTCTTTCATGCATGAAGATTCTCATCAAGGAGAAACCCCTTCTTTGTACTCTCAAGCCAGAATCACAGGCGTGTACCTGTGATGGCCTAGTTCATTAGTACTACACTTTGGGTAGTGCACCGTTGTGCCTTTACACACTTTACACACAGCCACCGCCTGTGCAAATAGCTACAGAAGCACTTGTTTCCAGAACATGACAGAAATGTGAAGCTTGGAGAAGAGAGCTGCGCATATCTCTCTTCATCTTGAACTTAGCATTCACTCATTTCCCAAGTTATTTTTAGAATGGTGAAGCCTCCATTGGACATATGATGTGTTCCACTTGTGCAACAGAACCAGTAGGAATGACCCTGTTTGGTACTGGCCAGTGAACCTTGACTCAGAACAACAGCATTGTGAATTGGCCTTTCCTTATTTTTAGGGACTTCGCTTCTACTAGGTGTTTGTTTGTTACCACATCTTTCTCACTAGACTTCACTAGGTATTGTGTGATACTAACAGCATATCTAATATTTTTCTTTGCAAAGAAATGCAAGAGGTGAAGATGGCCCACAGAAGCTTTTAAACCAGTCAGCGAAACCCTCATAACATTTAAGTAGTATACCATAGATAATGTAAATAGTATGGGGTGTGTATGTGTCCTTTCCAAAGTACTCATAGATAGTGTCAATCACTGAATACACTTCCTAGGAATGTCTGCATGAGTTTATGATGCCATTCCAGACACAGCTCTTTGCTCATCTTAACTTTTAAAAGTAACTTATGAAACATAAGATGTGATTGAAAATTAAATATATAGGTTTAATCTATTCTTCCTTGGGGGAATGATGATACTTCTTAAGCTATAGAACAGGGCCAAATGATTGTCTCAGTGATTGCCTTTGAGTGTACCCTTGAAATAATAGATGTCAGTTTGACAGGGTTCTGCTGTCAACATCGGGGAATCAGAGTCTGCACCACAGGCTGACAAATCCAGACACTCCTTAATGTTAACCATCTTTCCCTGCTGAGTTGAAAAATTGCCCAGTGTACACTGTACAAGCACAAACTGTTGATTCATCACAGATCCCTATGCTATAGGCCAATGTCAATAAAATCTAATCTTCTTCAAATGATGTCAGGCAGGCAATGTATTTTCATTACTTGCATTGCTTTGGATAGTTCAGTGGGTCTTTCATCCACCACCCACCACTAGATGTTGACATGTCAACAGAATATTATCCATTCTTTTATTCATTCAGTCAATGCCCCTTCTGAAGCCATTTGTTTCTCAGCCCATTTAAACCCATTTCAAGCATCTAAAAGTAGCATGGAGTGAGTGCAACAGCTCAGGCGACTATGCAGAAATCTGTTGCTGTCATTGTGTTTCTAATGAATTCTGTTTCTTCACTTCTGGTTAAGTCAGTTTTGTCAAGCAGTAAGCTAGTGCATGACAAAGTTAACCTGCTCAAAGAGGAACAGTGAAGCTCAGGACTGACCAGAATGGGCATTGTATTAGAATCCATCAGACCAACAACCATAATTGTGTGAACGTCACACTAGAAAAAAAGCAATTCTTTTCACCCATACTGGAGATCTCATTGATTAGATTTTCATCTGCTGTACTACTTACCTTCAGCACATTACAAGCTTCCCAGGCTGACTGTATACCCAGCAGGTCATGAATGGTTATCCTAGGACTACATTACCAGTATGGAAGCACATGGTTCAGCACTTCCATGAAATCAAAAAATAAATGCTGGTGTATTCTAGCCTCATTTGTTGCTGCCCAAAGAAAGCTTAAACTTTGGGTTTATAAGAGCTGAAAAGGACTGTCAAGGATAGAACTTTCTGGAGGGCACTCATTCCCATGGCCTCCTTGAGTTGGAGACAACTTGATGGAACATGACAATGATGAGGAGAGTTCCTCTTGGGTTTGTGTATGTGCAGGAGAACCTTCAGTTGCAGGAAAACTTTCAGTTGCATATAGGCCATAGGCAAACTGGCTGTTCCATCAACACATGCCACCCTGAGACTTTTGTGTAGGACAGGATAGAAATGCCACAAACAAACACTTTTCATTTAGATGTATTGCCCAAATTCATAGTTCCAGGCTTGAAAATACAGGTCTTGAGACTTCTAGCACTTGCCTCAAATGTAAAGTATTATTACCCAAGTTCTTGTTTCAGTTCAGATTTTAATCCACTACATAGGAATATAATAACAACAACAACAATTCTTTCCCCACATTTCTTCCTGCACACCTATCAGGGTGTTGCCACTCTGAGAGCAGGAAAGACAGGTATTTACATCCCTACCCAGCTAGTATTGCCCACACGGAATTACACAGTGTGTGGTACTGGTAGCCCTGGGAAAATGGTAAGGGCTGTTGCAGTGCAGTCAGTAGGCCAAGAGGTGATAGGAAGGAGGACAAGGCCATTGAGCTTTATGAAAAATAATCCCTCTTGAAGTTCTGGCCAGTATTCTACTAATCTCGTGCCTATATGGTGCCTGGACTAGAAATCTGGGCTTTGAAAAAGTTGGAATCTGTCAGATTGGTTTTAATTTCCTCTATTCTCCATATGTGGGCAGATTCAAACTTGATTTTAGCCTGTCATTTCCTATT